GAAAAAAAGTCTCGAGAGGCAAAAAAAAAACAACACCAAGTTACAGTTAAAGAAATAAAAATGCGCTATAAAATAGAAGACCACGACTATCAAGTTAGAATCAATCAAGCAATAAAATTTTTAAAATTAGGTAACAAAGTAAAAATTAGCTTAACTTTTAAAGGAAGAGAAATTCAATATATTGATCTTGCAGAAAAACTAATTGAAAAAATAATTCATAGTCTCTCCCCTATTGCAGAACATGAGAAGGTTTTTGATAAAGAAGGTAAAAACTTATATATTATGTTATTACCCAAAAAAACATAAAACTATATAATATAAATTATAAATAATTAACAAATTAATATGAAGATCATTTTAGAAAAAATTTGTAAATTCTATAAAAAAAAATGTATATTAGATAATTTACATATCACTTTTTCACAATACGAAATTTTAGGCTTATTAGGGCCCAACGGCACAGGTAAAACTAGTATTTTTAAAATCATAACAGGTATAAGCAAACCAGATAAAGGCAAAGTATTGCTCAATGGAGGAGATATTACCAATGTCCCCATGCATCAAAGAGCAAGAATGGGGATATGCTATCTCCCTCAAGAATCAAGCATATTCAGAAGATTAACAGTAAAAGATAATTTAAAATTAGCTTTAGAAGAACTAGATTATTCTCAAAGAATAGAAAATAATATTATAAAATCATTTACATCATATTTCCAAATAGATAAAACATTAAATACTTTTGGTTCATATATTTCTGGTGGAGAAAGAAGAAAATTAGAAATAGCAAGAGCTGTAATTATCAAACCAAATTTTTTGCTCTTAGATGAACCTTTCGCGGGCATAGACCCCATATCTATTTCAGAGTTACAAGAAATAATTGTAAATTTAAATAAATCTGGTATTGGAATACTAATTACAGATCATAATGTTAGAGAAACACTTAAGATAACACATAGATCTTATATTTTATCAGGTAATAATATTTTAGCATCTGGTACGACTCGACAATTAATAGAAAACAAAGCAGTTAGAGAATCTTATTTAGGTAATGATTTTACCTTATAAAAAAAACAATATTTATAATAACAACCATTAAAATTTTTAAATAAAAAAATTATATGTTTGCAATTATTGATCGTTATATTTTACAACTATTAATTGGTCCTTTTGTTATTAGTACAAGCGCTTTTACTTCAATTACACTTTCTGTAGGTGTATTATTTGAGTTAGTTCGTAGAGTTGTAGAAGGTCTCCCATTTAAAATAGCTGGAAAAATTCTAATCTATAAATCTCCCTATTTCATATTTTTGTCCTTTCCTTTAGCTTCATTATTTGCTACTTTAATAACCTTCAATCAATTAGCAAATAATAAAGAACTAATTGGATTTAGATCATTAGGTATATCAAGTTATAAGTGGTTGCGATCTACTATTGTTTTTGGCATATTGATAGCTATTTCTGCTTTTTTTATAAATGACTTAATAGTGCCTGTCTCAAATTATAGGGCTAATGAGTTGTTGAGAGAGTCTAAAGAGAATAAATCCCTAGACAATAGAAGATTTGACATTTTATATAAAGAATACTATCAAAAACCACAAGAAGGGCTTAAGCAACTTTTTTATTCTCAATCTTTTGATGGTAATTTTATGAATAATGTTTTAGTAATAAATTTTTATAAACAAAAACCAGAAATCATTATTTCTTCAGATAAAGCTGTATGGGATGAAAAAGTAAAAAATTGGATTTTCTATTCTGGGAATGTTTATCATCTTACTCCTATAGGTGATTACACATCAATTATGAATTTTCAATGTTATGAAAATAAAGAATTAAAAATATCAAAAAAACCATTAGAACTAAGCTTAAAAAAAAGAAGTATAGATGTGATGAACCTGGATGAAGCAATAACATATCGCAATTTACTATTGGAAACAAATAATATAAAAGAGGCTAGAAAAGTTAGTGTTAGAATAGAACAAAGATATGCCATACCATTTAGTTGTATTATTTTATCCTTAATAGGTTGTGTTCTAGGCAGTCAAATGGAGGAAACAAATAAACAAATTGCTTTCACTATTAGTGTTTTTATTATCCTTAACTATTATATAATAGCTTTTATAACAGATGCACTCGCACAACTACTAATAATTAATGCCAAAATAGGAGCATGGTTTCCTAATATTTTTTGTTCAATAATTTTATGTATCTTATTTTTATTTTTCGAATAAATAATGCATCCGGCTGGGTTCGAACCAGCGATGTCTCTTTAGAGAAACGGATTATGAGTCCGCTGCCTTCAACCGCTCGGCCACAGATGCTTATTTGGAACTGGTGGGATTCGAACCCACGTCCGTTAATTAGATATATTTTATTCATTCACAAGTTTAGTAAGTAAAACTTACTTAGAAGAAAAATAAGTATAATGAATTATAAGATTGTTTTTTGTTTTGATCTATACACAAGTATTTATATTTATGCTGCAAATACAAAAGCTCTAGAAAATTTGGTAATATTGTTTGCATTTAATTTTATATTTGATTAACGAGAGTTTAATCTCTCGACTTGCATCATAAAATATATCTTAATTAGCGTCAAGACCATAGCAGTCCCTTTATAAGGAAAATAGTAATAATTAAGGCATGAAGGGATTCGAACCCTTTACTTTCAAAATCGGAATTTGATACTCTGTCCTTTGAGCTACATGCCTTTTAAAATAAAATTTATAATATAAAAAATTATAAATTTATAATTTTTTATATTATAAATTTTATTTAATTAGACCAACCCTTTTCAGCTTGCGTTAGAATATAATTTGCGACATCTTCAATATCACTATCACTTAATCGTCCCCCAAATGCAGGCATAGCATTTTTACCGTTAGTAACTTGGTAAGTAATAGCTTCAACTGTATTAACCTTATTAGCTTCTAAAGATTCTTTTTTAAGAGTTTTTTCAGGCATAATTACATTATTTCCTCCAGTATGACAAGCAGCACAATTTGCAGAAAAAATTTGTTCACCGTTACTTAAATCTGCTGCGAATCCAACTAGCGAATTACTAAATAAATTACTAATAACAAATAAAATTAATATAAATTTCCTTTTCAAGTTTATCTCCTTATTATTATTTTAATAATAAATATTAATCTTATATATTATAATACTCAATTTATTTACAATTTAATAATAAATTTTACCTCCTCCCCATTTCTCTGATGCTATATTAGATTGTAATAAAATATGACCGGCAATAGCAAACAAGTCATCGTCTGTCATATTGCGCATTTTAGGAAAAATGTCAGCACTTTTTATACTTGGATGAATTTCAGCAATTGATTCAGTTCCGTCGTAGGTTGTAGGATTTTTCATGTAGTCCATTAAAGCTTCAATATTATCTCTCTTCGGAGTTGCTGATTGTAAGGATTTAATATCCAGGCCAACATTAGGGTTAGTTTTAGTACCACCACCACTGTGACATTGTGCACAATTGCTATTAAATAGGCGTTTACCCTTTTTTACTTGTTCTGTTGTTAATGTTATAGTTTTGCCATTTTCATTTAATAATACTGTTCTTGACTTTTCATCAAGATCATTTGCAGATGCAACATTTGCATTACTAATTATAATATAAATTATGGTTAAAATAGCAATCTTAAAATTAAAGTAAAGATTTTTTTTAGACATAATATTAAATATCCTTAATTATATATAACATATTATGAAATAAAATTTTATTTCATAATTGTAAAATTATTTTTATAGAACTACCTGACAATGTAATCTAAGTAATTGATACAATTTATTTTTTAATTCAGTTCTTGGTATGATTAAATCCACAAACCCTTTCTTCCATAATAATTCAGCAATCTGAAAATCTGGAGGTAATTTTTGTTTAATTGTCTGCTCAATAACTCTTCGCCCAGCAAAGGCTACTACAGCTCTAGGTTCAGCTATAATTATATCACCTAACATCCCAAAACTAGCTGTAACACCACCAGTAGTAGGAGAAGTTAATACAGAGATATATAAAAGAGATGCATTTTTGTGTTTAGCTAAAACTGATGAAATCTTTGCCATTTGCATCAAACTTAAAATACCTTCTTGCATACGAGCTCCTCCAGAAGCGCAAAAGATAATTACTGGCAATTTATATAAAGTTGCTTGCTCTATAAGCCGAGTAATTTTTTCACCTACAGCAGATCCCATACTTCCTCCCATAAATCGGAAATCCATTACAGCGCAAGCAACTTTAATACCATTAAGTAATCCAATTCCAGTTTCCACTGCGTCTTGCAACTTAGTCTTTAGCTTGTTTTCTTCTAATCTAGAATTATAAGCCTTAATATCGTAAAATCCTAATGGATCAGTTGAAATTAGATTAGCATTGATAGGCGTCCAAGTATTTTGATCTATTATTTGTTGAATTCGCTTATCGCTAGGTAATGGGAAGTAATAATTGCAATAAATACAAATATATAAATTTTTTTCCAATTGTGCTCTAGGTAAAGTATTTTCGCAGCAAGGACATATAAACCAGATACCTTTTCTTATTTGAAGTGGTTTTATTTGTTTTATATTGTGTAATTTTTTTGTTGTTCTTATTGAATTCAGCTTTATCTTGTTTCTAATAACACGTTGAAAGTCTTTAATAATATTGTCATTGTTAATATCATCTAAGCAATTATTCATACATATTTAATTATAATAATGTTTATTATAATATATAATTTAATTTTAATTTCTTATTACTCTATCTTTATAGCTCACATAGATAAGCAATAGAGTAATTGGTAAAACAACTATGATAAAACCTAGAAATAGACTATTGAAAAAACTTAATAAAGAAGATGTCATAATAAATCCTTCAAAATTTTATATTAAAAAATCTATAGAAAAAGTTATAATAATATATTATTATAACTTTTTCTATAGATTTTTTAATATAAAATTTTGAAGGATTTATTATGATACTAATGATAATGGTATAATTATATACATAAAGCGGTTGTGATGAAATTGGTAACCATGTACGCTTGAGGAGCGTATGGCTTTATGCCTTACGAGTTCGAGTCTCGTCATCCGCATGTAAAAATTTTATAACCCATTAGTATATAATAGAAACTCTAATTGATGCTACTTACATGTCCTCTCAATTCCATGAGTTTCTATTATATATTAATGGGACTTAACTAAATTATATCATTTAAGTTAATTAATTTCAACAAGAAATTAATTAACTTAATATTGCATTACTAAGATAATCAAAATATGGAATAATTAAATCTTTTTCTTCATTCAACTCAAAAATATTGATACTTGCTTCTTTAAGACATTTAATAGCATCATACATTCCAACAATAGGTACACCTAAAGAGTTGTACATGTCTTTTACACCAATAATACCGATTTTTTCTATAGGTGATATATCTCCTGCAACTACTCCATAAGTTACTAAACGAAGGTACCATCCATAATCTCTTAAACATAAAGCCCTTTGTTTAGGACTTGAAGCATTCCCTCCAGAAGAAACATATTCAGGATGGAGTTGAAATAATTTTTTACTTGCATTTTGTATAATATCTTTTTCTCGTTCTTTTAATTTATTTATAATATTAATTCTTGTATTTGTAGTATTAAAAAAATAAATTAAGGTAGATAACTCACCACCGTTTAGATAACGTAATTCTTCATCAGCTGTATTTATTATTTGACTGATTAAACTCATAAACTAAATCATGAAATTATATTAAATAAATATTAATCTTATTACTTATTTTAAAAAAAATATTTTTATTTTTTCCATTATAATACTTCTTAACTATAATAAAATAAGGACTTAAACTTTACTTAAAGTTTAAGTCCTTATTTTATTATAGTTAAGAAGTATTATAATGGAAAAAATAAAGCATCTGGATATAAACGATTGAACTCCACGATTATAGCAGCTGTAATAGCTATCCAAATTACTCCTAATACCGGAGCAGTAGACAAATACTTAAGTAAATCTTTATTCATATTTATTTATCACTATTTTATTTATTACTATTTTTATTGTTCTTATATTCATCTAGGAGAAACTGTAACTTCACTATCCTTCATTAATAACTCTCCCTTAGTATACTCTCGCAGGGCAGACAATGGCCAAATAAATCCTGAACTCATAAATTTAAGGGCTAAGGGGACATCGATTATAATTTCATTTTCTATAGCCTTATTTGTATTTTTTATAGCACATAGATATCCTCTACCAACCCAACCAATCCATCCACTTATATATATGAAAAGTAAACTTGGTATGACAAATTCTCCAGCATGACTCCATCTTCCATCAGCTATTAAGTGTGGAAGCCCATCTCTACCGCATAATACTCCTGATTCCATATATTTATGGAATCTATTACTAGTTTTATTAATTGTATTTTTTATTGCTAAATAAGAACTACTTCCTACTTCATATTTACTTAACCTATTTTCCAATTTTTTTATTGTTGACTCTAAACGCTTATTAAATATCTTTGATTCTTTACAAGGAATTAAATTATTAAATTCTGCTTGTACTAAATTATTAGTACTAAATGACAAAACACTAGAAAATAAAATTACATATAAAATAAGTCTATTAATTTTCATCATTTCTCCATCTAAATTAGACTCTAATAACTAATATATAATAAACTTTAGTATAAAAATATATTAATTAATATAAATTAAAATTTGTAACAAAAAAATAACATAAGTATATAAAGGAAATAATTATTGTGTTAGATGATACAACATTAATTATAAAGTCAATTCCTTTCTCCAATAAAGAAATAAAAGTTTTGTTTAAAAGAAATACTATCCTTGATATAAAAGACTTGATATTACTCTATAAATCTGTAGGATGGCAAAAAAATTCAGTTAACAAATTACAAAGACTAATCAAAAATAACTTATTAATAAGCTGTTTTATAGAATTATCTACAATTAAACCGAATTTAATAGGTTTTGTACTTGCAAGTTCTGATTGTGAATACTATTCTATAATATGGGATTTAATGATAAATCCTAAATTTCAGAATCTTGGTTTGGGAAAAGAACTAATGTCTTTAATAATCCATGAAACAAAGAAAATGCGGATTAATAATACAATCTTATTTGCTGACGATGAAGTAATTAATTTTTATAAGAAATTAGGATTTGTAATTGAACCTAATAAAACTAAAGTACTATTTTTATCAAATTAGTTTTTTGTATATACTATATATAAATCGTTATGTCGGGATGTAGCGTAGCTTGGTAGCGCGTCTGCTTTGGGAGCAGAATGTCGCAGGTTCAAATCCTGCCATCCCGATGTTAACTATTTTATTCTATTTAGATTTTTATTTGCCAATAATTTATTAAGTCTATCAATAGCAGTTTTATTTTGATTATCATAAGATAAAACAAGTTGATATAAATCAATGGCTTTTTTTATATTATTTATTTTTTCATAGACTTTTGCTAAATTATTTATGGATATAATATAATTAGGCTGTATTGCAATACACTTTTCAAAAAATTTAATGGCTAAATTATATTCTTCAATATGCATATAAACATAGCCAATACTATTATAAATTTGTATAAGTGAAACTCCAGCATTGTCCTTATAAGAATTAGAAGATTTAATAAAAAAGTCTAGAGCTTGTTTTAGACAAGCCTTATCAAGATAAACTACTCCAAGAAGAAAATAAATGTAGCAATTATTTTTATAATTGTTTCTTAATAAATTATTTAATCTATATATATAGAATTCTTGTTTTATAAATTTAAAAACTTGACTATAAATCTTTATTATAAAAAATATTAATATAATTATAAGTATAAACAAATAAAAAAAAGAATTATAATTTAATATCATAACTTGTATAAAATATAAATAAGAATATTTTATGATCTAATAAAATGCCCTCATCGTCTAGAGGCCTAGGACATCTCCCTTTCACGGAGGTAACGGGGATTCGAATTCCCCTGAGGGTATACTAGTAATAGTTAAAGTATATAAAATGTATTAAATAGATTGTAGCATTTCATTTATAAAATTTTTAAAATCATCTAATCCATCAGATTCAGTAGATTTAGATATTTGTTGCATACAAGCACTACCTATAATTATTCCATCAGCTCCCCAAGCCTTAATTTGTTTAATATGACTAGGTTTGGACACACCAAAACCTATTACTATTGGCTTATTACTATATCTTCTAATAATTTCAATCTTATCTTTAATCACATCAGAGAAATTATCCCTTATACCAGTCACACCTGTACTACTTACCAAATAAATAAAACCATTTGCTTTTTTTACAATTAATCTAATCCTACTTTCTGTACTTACAGGAGAAACTAACAGATTAAGACTCATATTGTATTGTTGGCACAACATTAAAATTTCGTCAGCTTCTTCGACTGGCAGATCAGGAATAATTATTCCTTTAACATTTAATTGGTATAATTTATATATAAAATTACCTATTCCATAATGTAGTATTAAATTAAAATAGCAAAATATAATTATGGGAATTGATAAATTAATATTTTCTAATATTAAAAAAAGATGATTTATTCGAAAGCCTTTATTTAGAGCTCTTTGAGCAGATGATTGTATCGCAGTACCATCTGCAAGAGGATCACTATAAGGGATTCCTAATTCTATGACATGAGATCCACTCTTGTCTAAAATATTTAATGCTTTAATTGTTATTTCTATATTAGGATCACCTGCCATAATAAATGGCATTAAAGCAATTTTATTATTAGATTTTGTTTCTTGAAAAATTTTATCTATTAATGACATGTTAATTATAACCTATGTATGAAATATTATTGTATTAAAGATAAAATAATAATACTTTTATTTTTAGATGCTATAAAATATAGGCTGCCCGGGACTCGAACCCGGAACTAATCGGTTAAAAGCCGAGTACTCTACCATTGAGTTAGCAACCCTAAAATATATAGAAAATAAGTTATCTTATTTATCAAATAAGTTTATTAATTTTAATATTAAATATAAAATATATTATATAATTTTAATGATTCAAAATGCAGTTATTAATAAAATTATTAATAAATCCTATTTGCATAAAAAATTTTATTTTACTCTTAAAGAAATTCAACTTTTAACTATTAATACTTGTTTTATTCTTTCTATTTCAGGAGGACAAGATTCACTCACTCTATTAAAACTTATTTATGATTTTGCCGATATTTATAATTGGAAAATTATACTAGTACATTTTAACCATAATATTCGTTGTGATTCCAAGCAAAATGCAAATTTAATCAAAAGATTAGCAAACAAATTTAATTTAAAATATTATTTATATAATTATGATGATATCTTTACAGAAGAAAAGGCTAGATTATGGCGTTATAGGAATCTAATTAATCTAGCTATAAATAAAAAATGTAGTTATATTCTTACAGCGCACACATTGAATGATAAAATCGAAACTTTATTTCTTAACCTATTTCGCGGAAGCAGTTTACAAGGAATTTCTACTATATCTTCTATAAATTATATAAATGGAGTTATAAAAATAATTAGACCAATTATTAATTTTACTAGAGAGGATACTTACTGGTTCTGTAGATGTTTTTGCTTACCTATTTGGCTAGATTTAACTAACTATAAACTTGACCTAAAACGTAATCGTATAAGAAATGAAATATTACCATATATATCATATTATTTTAATCCTTCAATTTATTATAAATTATCTCATATAATTGATCTTATTTCAAAAGAAAATGAATATCTACAATGGCTTATGTACTCAATATATAAAAAAATCTACAACCTTGATAATAATGGCTTGAATATTGATTTATTTGATAAATATCACATATCAATTAAAAGACGGATTATACAATATCTATTCAAAGAACAATTTGATATTTATTTAAATTTTGAAGAAAATAGTAAAATATTATATTACTTAAATAAAAAAACTTATACAGATTTTCGCATACAAGATAAACAAATTTTTCTATTTTTTGCTTATGAATGGGTATTTATAAGGAGCGGAGTATATGACACAACAAAAAATATTATTAATAA